GCATTTTGGTGCGAATTTTCCAGAAAAAAATTATTCGTGATTAAGTTCAAACGTGATAGTGTGATTTCTTTATATTTGGCTGGAATAACTCTTTTGCATCTCGTACCATCACTCGTTACCGTGATACTGGTAGTGTAGCTCGACGTCAAGGAAGTGGACGGAAGAAAACAGCAACATCAGCAGAAACGGTTCGAAAAGAAAAGAAGCGACTTGATCAAAAACCGCGTCGCAGTGGCCGAAAAATGGCTCGTGAGCTGAACATATCGCAGTATCCCATTCGGCAAATATTGAAAAATGAGCCCGGGGTAAAGCCATTGAAATTCCAAAAAGTTCAAGAACTTACACCGCAACAGAAAGAAAATAGACTGAAAAAAACTAAGGAGTTGCTTCGCTTGGCCGAAAGTGGTGAACTGCCGAATTTGGTTTTCTCCGATGAGAAAACATTCACTGTCCAGCAGTTTGATGCTATTTCCGACATTTTTTGCTTTCATTCAATAAAATTAAAAAAAAAATAAATAAAATTATGGTGTTTGACTTTGTTGCAGTCTTTTTATCTCACCCTGTACTTCTTCAAAAATCAATGGAGTTACAAAAGTTACATGACGCACTGCACGCGTAACAATGAACTCATTGAGAGTCGAGTTCGGTGTGTTAATAGTTAATTTATATAAACACTCACCTTCAACATTGTACCATCTGCCAAATACACCATTTCATCCACTTGCTTATTAATTTTGTCAAAATATGTCTCCTCACTACACATATGACAAGTTGCAGCAGAATCAATAAACCAATCGCCATTTGCTTTTACATTTGTGATACCAAAACAAACATTTTTATTGCCATCTTTAACAATATTGGCCCGATTGTCGTTTGGCTTTTGTTGTTTTCGCAGATTTTTGTTTGTACAATCCTTTTTCATATGGCCCGGCTTTCCACATGAAAAACATTTTGGCACAAACTTTTTCTTCTGCACTTTAAAAGCAGCCTCAGTTTGATGTTCACCTGACATCTTTCTCCTGAACTCCTGTAGCAACTTTTCCTTCACCAAATCGAGCGTCAGATCTTCCTCCGAACGCATTTCTAATGATGAAATTAGGTGGTTGTAATTTATACCGGAAGGCTATCGGATCACTGCTGTATATCTCTAACAATACACGTCCAGATATTGCATTTGCCGTTTCAATATTATCTCGGAAAATTACTTGCCCGAATGAAAGAGATTGGACTGAAGTCAAAAGGGTTCTAAAATATCTAAAAGGGACTAAAGACTTGAAATTGCTCGTTGGATCTAAGAGTGAATTGGAGTTGAACGGCTTTGCTGATGCTGATTGGGCAGGCGACATCAATGACCGAAAATCTACAAGTGGGTTCATTTTTAAGCTTGGTGATGCTGTCATCAGTTATGCTAGTCGAAAGCAAGCAAATGTAACTTTATCATCTACCGAGGCAGAATATGTGGCTCTTGCTGAAGCATCTCAGGAACTCTTATGGATTATGCAATTAATGAAGGAATTTGAAATCAACATATCCAGTCCGGTCATTTTTGAAGACAACCAGAGTTGCCTCAAGATACTTCAAGATGAGAAAATAAGCCCTAGAAGCAAGCATATAGATGTTAAGTTTTACTTTGTTCGCGACTTGTATAGATCGAATAGCGTATTATTTAATTATTGTCCAACAAAGTCTATGTTAGCAGACATTCTAACCAAGCCTTTACAGAAGGTTAACATATGTAAATTTCGAATACTGATTGGATTATGTAATTTAGATTAATTCGTTATTTTTATATACATACATATCTTTTGAGCTTATATAAATTAATTTTAAATAATATTTGTAATATTAAGAAGGGGTGTTAATAGTTAATTTATATAAACACTCAAATCAACATTGTAATTAACTGTGAGGACACTTAATGTTTATGCAAATGTCTACAACTTTGAAATTTGTGTCATACGCCATTATATGTACATACACATTTCTTTTCCTCATTACTTCTAATAAACTGATCTCAACAACACGGTGAACATTTTATTTCACGTTTGGGATCAGTAAATTGACGATCGCGCGATTTAATGCCTTTAAACTATTTTTATGGGACTGTGTTACGACGACGAGCCCGCTTCAAGCAATAAGATTATATTCAATTAATAGAACTACCATGAAGGGTTTTCTACCCACTGAAGAGTTATAGAAGGACTTCTGTCTATAAAGGGGTTTTCATATGTGCTACTTTTGACACTTTCTGTTCAAAAAGTATGATACATTAACGTCTTCCCCTTGATCGCTTGATAAACGGAAACGTTTCTGTTTTTTGCTTTGCCATTTTGCGGCAGACCCAAACCTTGCTATTTTACCGTAATCAAATATTCCCACAGCTGAATGAGATTTTGATGTTTTCAGAGGCAAAACACAACTGGATATGAATAAATATTGATTTTCATCTTGAGACTTTATACATATTAATATATACAACAATATACAAATATACACATGTGAACATACAAGTATATACATGTGACACACACACACACAAATTTTAAGTCATTAACCTCTTCCACATATAATTAATGAATTGGAAATGGAAACGTCATTAAAAAGACAGTTAAGAAATTTTAGAAATATTTTAACAGCGGACTTATGGAGTTTGAAATACGTATGTGTCTAAGAACTGGGCATATGGTGAGTTTAATTTTGTTGTTCTTTCTAGGATACTAAAAATAGATTCGTTGGATTTAGTTTTTAAATATTTTGTATGATTTTAACAAGTTGCTTAAAGACTACATTCATTGTCTGGCATTCCAAGACTCTGTATGACATGTACAAGTAATTTTTGTCTTCCTTAGTAGTTTTTTTCACCTTTCAACGACACGCAATTGTTAGACAGGAAGTCTTTGTTCCAATAATAAATTACAAAATGCAACTTAAAGGAAAAAACAAAATAAATGTAACAACAAAGACATAGTATACAATTACACACACACCTCACTTTGCACATTATCAAGATCACCTACTTAAATGTAATACAAAAAAATACAAGTTTTTGTTTTTCAATGAGGGTTACTAGTACTTTCAAACTGAGACAGTTCGTTGCGGTTCATTTGAATCGAATCAATAATTGATCAATTGTATGATTCCATATATTTATGAACTTTATATAAAAATGGAATAGGTAAAAAATATTGCTTTGTTTCGTATTGTCATTTTTGTTTGTCGAAGCAAAGTTTATTTTTGCCTAAAACTCTTCCCATATTGAGCTCGAATCATTGAAACGAAAAACTAACTCCCTCCTCTCTGCTTTGGTGGTATGTTTGTTGGTTTCTTCTAACACTCATTGCGATTTTAATTTGAGGAACCGGTTTGGTTGTTATATTTAGCTTGATATTTGAAAACAACATTTGGTGTGTACCTTTTGCGGATGGCATTTAAAGTGTTTCTAAAAGATAACTTCAATTTAGAAGGAAAATGAAAATGTTTGGTGTGGCTAAATTTTACTCTCTAAAGTGAAGGTTTTTACAGAAATGGTAAACATTTCTTTCTTATAGAAGCAAAATTCAAGTCCAACCTGAATTAAAACTTAAATCGGTTAAAACATAAAGACATGTGAGAGTTTTACATTCTACTGGGTGAGATGAAAAAACTGCAACCAACTTCAGACTGCTGTCATTTCTAAGCCACTCGTCCGACAGTTGTTAAAATTATTGCAGTGATAGCTCATTATATTGTTTATAAGCGTACAAAAGAATTTTAATGAGAATTTTTCAGGAAAAAAGTTATTTGTGATGGAATTCCAGGGTGATAGTGTGATTTCTTTATATTTGGCTGGAAACCCACAAGTGGCTATCGTTGGAGCACTCCTGCATTTAAATGTGAATAAATCTTTTGTGTCTCGTACCACCGCTCGTTACCGTGATACTGGTAGCGCAGCCCCACGTCAACGAATTGGTGATAGATTTCAAAAGTTTTGCAAGTTTTTTCGAACGAGAACACACGTAGAGCCTTTTTTACCAAGACCTAAAATGGTAAAGACTATCTAGATAACAGTTCATGACAGGACCATGTTAATATAAAAAACACATTCCAAATGAGTTTTTCAATTTCTTTTTTTTTTCAAATTTTCAGTAAATTTAAACAAATCAAATATTTGAAAAACTCGTTTGAAATTTAACAACAGAGTTACCTAAAATTCAACTTCCCACTATTGAAAAATGTTTTGTACACCCCAATTATGCCAGTTCCATATCTTAAAATCTATTGATCATTTTTATCATTTATCCAATTGTTATATTTTCTAATTAAAAATATTCACATTTTCTAATTAAAAATATTCACGTTTTCTGCTTCATTCATTCCTATTTACAACACAAAAAAAATGTTCAATTGTCAATGTTTAAAAAATTTAACATTGAAATTTTGTACGCGTAACATATTTAGGTAATTTACTTTATAAAAGTTTGTAACAACCGTTTTCCGAGGATGACGAAAAATCGCAATATTGGGCTTTAAGTGGCGTTGCCGGTATGCTGGCGTTTAGCGCGGCTATGGCTCGTCGGGTGAGGGGTGGTTCTTGCCACTTGAAGACCTTTTCGGTTGAACACAAAAAAAAATGTCATACCGGGCTTGCACGAATATCTGAAAAGGGGAATATTATAAGAAGCCTGAAACATGCCTAAAAATACAAAGAAAACTACACTTGCTTACCAAAAACTCAATCTTAAACTCACTTTAACCCCATTCTTTCCTCCGGAAACAGCTCTCTTGGCGGCTGTCCGACCAAGAGATAGCCCTCCCACCGAGAACACCTCTCGCCATGACGTCACCACTCCCTGACGTCCCAAATTTGACCCTTCACTTACCTCCGTTTAAACCATCCCTACCACCTTCTTAATGGCCTTAAGCCAACGACATCATCTTCATTTGGAAGTATACAATTTTATTACACCTATTGTACATTACATATTGATTTATACTATCAATCAATGAAAAAAAGCAGGAAACGTAATTATTAACTCCATAAAAAAAATTAATTCCAACTCTAAGCTCCTTCTCTTTCTTTTTCCTTTTCAGGGTTCGATGGCGGGTATCAAGAGTTAGGACCACTGATGGCAGCTAATGGACAAGGTTCTTCCCAAAGAGTAAGTACGTAATAGTGTGAAGTTTAGCTTTATAACTACATTCCCGGTTCAAGATTAAAAAAAAAATGATAATTTATTTTCCAATTCCAGGCCAGGACAAACAAAAGGCAGTAAGTCGACACCACAAAAACAATCGACGAGAAAAAAAAGTGGATACCTAACCTCGAAATGAGCTCAATTCAACGAGGGATCCTGCACTGCAACACCAGGCGAGTAAATCTTAAATTAAACTTCTTTTGTTTACCCCTTTTTATTTAAAAATTGTACTTTTCTTTTCAGGAAAACCGCGGAATCTAATTATGTCGCCTCGTCGTCCGTCTGTCTGTCCGGAGTTTATAGTGACGTCTACAGGGAAGATACCAAGTCACGCTGGTATAGCAGTGACGGAAAATCTGCGCCTCCCTCGATGGATTGGATGGGCGATGGTGTGGCTCTTTACTCCAAAAATTCTGCCAGGACTTAATTTTTAAGATTTTTCTTAATTTTCTTTGTATTTATTAAGTTTTGTTTCAAGCTTAATTCAGTTTCGTTTTGTTTTAATTTTAATTCATTTTCATTTTGTTTAAACTTAATTCAGTTTTGTTTTGTTTAAACTTTAATTCATTTTCATTTTGTTTAAACTTAATTCAGTTTTGTTTTGTTTAAACTTAATTCAGTTTCAAGTCTTTCCTTTTTGTTTAAAATTTTGCCAAACTTTAAGACGTTTATTTAGTTTTTGTATAACTATTAAGAATACTTTCAGGTTTAGTTCTTAAATGTTCACATTTCAGCTTTTTAAATTTTATATTTTGTTTTAAGATTTATATTTTGTTTTAAGATTTAAGCCTTTTCAGCAAAAAAAAAAAGGTTTGGATTTTGTATTCTTTTCATTTATTTTGTTGAACACATCAAATTAATAAATGTAATTCCTTTTACTTATGGAATTTATCGCCAAAAAATGCCGGGTGTTTTACTTCGCTGGGAGCTGGGAGCCACGCATCCAATCTTCTTCGCTGATGAGATAAAAAGGAAAGAATTTCCTTACAATTTCTGTCAGGAAATTCTGGCTGCCATTTTCCTCGTTTAATTTGTCCATTTTCTTTTTAAATTATTCCCCCTTATTGACATTTAAGTCATTGGAATAAACAGCTGTTCCCTAATAATGGTTGACAACATTCTTCTTCTTCTTCTTCTGGCTATCAATTATTTTCATGGTTACCCCTTTTTAAGGCGCACACCACAAAGCCAACTATCCTGCTGATATCCTTATCGAAGGATAGGGGGAAAAAAGTGCGACATTCGATATAAAAATAAAAAAAATCATTGTGTATGATACGGCAATTGAAAAAAAAATCGATGTTTGGCATCCCTAACAATCGTGGTTTGGCATCCCTAACAATCGTGGTTTGGCATCCCTAACACTCATTTTCTGATTTTCCAAAATAAAATTTAATTCCGAACTGATTTATTTATTACAGTGTAAACGCTCCATTTTCGTCTATACGAACCTGGTATAAAGTTTACGTCATACGCTACGCGTTATCGCTTAGTCTGACGTAACGTAACTATCGATAGTAGTGATGTTTATGAATGAAAACAATCGGAGTACGATTGTATTGTAAATTTTTGGCGGATTAGCACGCGGACGGACGGACAATTTTGGAGCTGCAGAAATTATTAAATTTTGGGTAAGTAAAGTGAAAAAAATTATAGTGAAATATTTAATAATTTAATAAAACAAGTACCAGTGCCGGGTAAGTTATAATAATGTGTGTAATTAAAGTGATTTAAGTGCAAAAGAAATGAATGAAAATTATCAGTGACATACAGTGCGGGTGTATGCGATAATAGTAAATGGCAAATAGTTGCATGAAAAATTAATCCGTATAAATCTTAGAAAATAATAAAGAAAATTAAAAGAATACAAGGAAATATAATAACAAAATGGTTTAAATGAAACAATTAAAATTAATTTCCTGAAATTAATTTAATTTCCTAGCCCAAAAAAAAATAATGATTTCCCTTCAATGTGTGTGTGTGTGTGAGTGTAAGTAAAAGTTGCATTTACAATGAAAAATTGCACTCATTAAGAAAAAATGTGACTTTGGCGGAAACAATAAGTTCGAAATAAATTCGAAGTGAGTGAATAGTGAATAAAAATGTAACAGATAAAGAAAATATAGAATTAAGGAATGAGTGATAAGTGCGAATGAAATTAAAAATATTATGTTGCCAAAAGAAAAGAAAATTGAAATAGTGAAAACAAAACAAAATGCAAAAACGAATAAAGTAAAAGGTGAAGTGCAAAAGGAATAATTAATGATCATTGTCGGAAATTAATAATTACTAGTGAAAAATGGTGAAAAGTTAAGACAGACCTAAATTATGTGTGCAAATATTGTGTTTATTTTTTTCTTTAAAGACAAAAAGTGCGAAAAATTGAATTGAAATGAACAAAAAAATTAAAAAGTATTTTTACTAGTTAAGAATTGTGCGAATCAATGTCTAAACAATGAATGAAAAAGAAAAGTGAATGAAAATGAAATTGAAAATATTGTGAATTTAATGAAAATAAATAAATAAATTTTCTTTTAAGAATTTGGCTTAGGTAAAACTGAAGTGAAAAATTATGTGAAATATCCTGAATTTGGATATAAAAAATTAAATTTTAATAAAAAAGAAAATTTTTACAGGAAAAAAGAAAAAAACTTATATAAATCGGACGGACGTAAAAAAAACAACTATTGTGTCTATTATTAATAACAAAATGTGAAAAAAAAAAAAATTTCAGTGCAATAAAAATTTTTGCAAGATTTTAAAGAAGAGAAAAAAATTGAAGTGTCGTAAAAATGAAATAAAATAATAAGCAAAATATTATATAAAATTGGGCTTCGGTGAATTTGATGTGACGAATAAAGTGAAATATTCTAAAATTTTAACGGAATTAAATTGAAAGAAAAAAAAAATACAAAGATAAATAAATTCTCTCTTCGTTTTAATTTAAATCATAGTCCACCGTTAGGACACAGAACTAATACTTATTTTCTTTTTCTTCTCTTTACAGATTTTTTTCACGAGTTTAGCCTGAAAGAAAGGTGAGTTGAGCATGGTGTTTTCTTTTTCCGTAGGGGTACCATCAACTAGGACCCCAGCTTTGGTCAGAAAGTTGGATACGACATTACTCCAAATATACCTAGGTGTGTTTGGTTTTGTCTTCCCGATTTCAGACTCTATCTTCATAATTCGATGACTGACAGCTCTGCGACCTTGTGTACAACACTCTTCTGCCTTGTGCCATGGATGCGTATGGGTATACAAAGGAAGAGTGCACAAATGGTCAAAGACAGTCATAAATTGACTGCTCAGGAATCGTTAACGTATTGTTAGAGTCCGTAAATTTGGGATGCTTCTATCGTAATCCAGCGTATTCTTTCTGACCTCTGCTGTTGGTGTCTAGGAGATTGGCCTCCTATGGAAACCAAGAAAAGTTTTCCATAATCTCACAAGACAACCCAAAAAGTTGCCCGAATTGGATATCTAATTCACAAAAGGTAAGTAGATATGGAAATGCTGAAAATTGTATAAACAAAAGATATTAATAAGTTATTTTTTATCTTTCCAGGCATTCATTACCTTTAAGTGGTGGAATTGGTCTGACCTGCAAAAACAGGAAATACAATGGATGGTAAGTTCGAGCAATCCTGTTCTACTTTTCTTCCAGCAGGTGTACCATCGCCTGGACCTTCAGCTTTAGCCAGAATGTCGGATACGATGGCTTACGAATGCACTGAGGTGTATTTGTTTCTTTTTGTCTACCGGCTTCCAGACTCTAGCGTCGTAAGGCGAGTGACGGACTGATCTGCGACCTCGTGTACAACAGTTCCCTGGCCCGTGTCATAGAGCAAACGGCTACTGCGGTACCTATCGCGAAAGGGGAATTGCACTAATGGTCAAGGACAGTCACTACGTGACTGCTCCGAAAGCGCAGACATCAGCTAGAGTCGGCAAACCCGGAGTGCTTTGATTCGTACTCTGACTTCGAAATTCTGACTTCTGCTGTTAGAGTCTAGGAGATTGGACGCCTGTTCGAATGAAAAAAACAGGGTTCCGAACTACACCATCATCCAAAATTCTAAGCGAGACTTAAGTGGGACTACGGTCGGCGCTAAGCTAAACGTAAGATGTAGTTTTAATTCTCTTTCGTAGTTTTTGTAATTTTGCTCTGGAAAATGAGAAAAATTATGAGAACTCTATTTCTTATAAACATAAAATTTATAAAAAATTTCAGCCAAACCAGTTTGTAAGTATGGCATTTCATTTCTAATTTCTTTTCTTTCTTTTGAGATGTTCATTTCATTACATTTATTTTTCCAACCATATTACCTAATGACATTTCACTAATTCCTTCTTTTTCCTTTACTTTTATGGCTAAAAATTGGAGAAATTGGGTTCAACCCTTACCCATACACTCAACTACACATCACTTATGAAGAGAAAGCTGCCCTACAGCTTGTATCAACTTAGGAATAACAAAGGACATTTCGTAAGTCGTAATTCAGGTTAGTCCTCTTAATATTATATCTTAAATAATACTAATGAAATTTGTTTTTTTTTTTTTTCAATGCAGGTATTACTTCAACTAAATTCGAACGGATTTCCCGGAACTCTTGGAAAATTCAGGTGAGTATTGGAGAAAAATTATGCAATTTTAATTAAGCTAGATTTAGAATTCAATTTTATATACTTTTCGTGTAGACTTTGCGGATTAGTATTTCATCCTGAGATCTCCGCTTTAGTTTAAAAAACTAAACTTCAATTAATTAAAAAAAACACATGCTATCCTCATATATATATGCTTAAGACTTCGGTCGCTATATATATGCAAAAAAAAAATAACCAAAAGAAAAATTAGATTAATCAATTATTAAGCATTTATTGCTTCAAATCCTTAGCGTGAAAAACGCCGAGGGGATGCCCCTTAAGATCTTCGACTTCATAAAGGCATTTCCCAACTGGCTTAACAATGCGACACTTGAAAAATTTCTTGTCAAGTTTAGCATTATAATTATTCTTAAAAACACTTTGCCTAAAACTTCTTCGGAAAACTTCTTGCCCTGGGATGAACTTGACCTGACGACTTCTAAGATTATACGATTTCTCATGTCTCAAGTATGCCTGGTGCAGACTATTTCTTATCTTTTCTCTGATAAGATCCTGTTTTACCGAGTTTG